CAAGAAACCAACTCAAAGCAAAAACTGGTGACCCTGTTCAACTCAAAGAACGGAATTGCCAAAGAAGATTATAAACATCATAGTAAAAGTACAATTATAGAAGAAGCTATCGTACGATTGGGTTGGCCAGGGGAAAATTGCCAACTCGGTCAGTCAATTACCGTAAACTAGATTGATTGGGTTTGTAATTTTCCACTTGGATTGGCTTGCAAAAAATGACCCCCACAAGTCCGGTTCGACCTGCTTGAAATGGAGGTTTTGAAGGGGGAAAACCGGACTTGTGGGGGTCTTTTTTCACAGGCCAATCCAAGTAGAAAATTAGCAGATTGGGTTAGGTTTTGGCTGCTTCCTACCCTATTGTGGGTTGCCTGCGACACACGATGTCTCAAAACCCTTGCCAATAGCTTGGCTCAAAGAAGCTTCTAACAGGAAACTTTCAAGCGCCAATTCAACTTTATAAATCTCAAGACATCATCGAACGCCACATTGAGGGCCGCGCCGTCACTGAATCGCTTTGCAACACAAAGAAGCTGGACTCGGGCTCGACCCCTAGCGTGGCATGTCTTATTTAGAAATCATGGGCACTAATTACTAGTTTCTGATCAATCATCAATTCGTGTCTTTGCACAGCGCAGCCCGCCTCCCGTGGAAGTGTGGGGGCCAGTGTGTTGTCGAGCGTGCGAAGAAACGAGCGACGAAGGCATGACTTGCAAGGAAACTGAATCTGAACTGTGCTTCGTCTCGCTCGCTTTGAGATCGTTCGGGCTGCAATCCGCTGGACATGAAAAGTCTTAGTTTGCTACATCGAAGCACCATTCAATAAGAGTGAACAAGTCAAACTCCTGACCAAGTCTCGTAACACCATTTCTTCAGCTTCACGTCGAGAAGCTCGCAGGTTTGCATATTATATTAGTTCAGCCTCTCCCTTTAATTGGTGCAACAAATTTAGAGTGGCTTTGCGTTGAAACTCAGCTACCTGTGCAAACACGGCTGGCGACGCTCAGAACATCAAACCTCCAACAAACATCGGAAAACAATCCTAGCCAACATGTCACTTTGCAGGTCAAACCAGGGGCGCCTACCAGCACGTATCTAATGAGCGTCCGACTTTAACTTCCAACAGTTTAGGACCGCGAGCGCATGTGCTGAATCAGCTCCATGCCCAAAGCTCCAGTCTGCGGAACGACGACGTTTCCTAAACATTTCAGCCGCTGCTGGTCGCTCTCATCGCGATCACGCTTCAGCCAAACGCTCATTGGCAAAGCGTTGTAGTGGTTCCAATCGCTTTGCAAAAAAGCGGACAATGGCTGTAGCGGCAGATCCTGGCGGGGGCACAAAACACAGTAAAGTTCGTTCTGTCTGGTGCAAAACTGCCTGCCACAACGTGCTGCCAGGAAAGAGCGCCAGGAAGAAGACCCGACAGCGTGAGGACTTGGCGTCGTAAAGCGCAAGATGTTTTTGACACATGTTCACTGCAAAATGGGCACAGACTCTGTGATTCAGCAAAAAAACGAAGCTTGATATCCTGTCGTGAAAACTGAAACCTGTTTGCGTTTCCCTGGTACTGAGTGATCAACTGCCAAACCCACGTGGGACAGCTTTGTAGAGGCCCAACGCAGGATCAACCCACGCGCATTGCATTCCTGGTGGCAATTGGTGCCTAAAGTCAATCAAAACCGCAACCACATGTCGTTCGCTGATTGTGTGCCATGTGGTCCTGAACGATGTAAGTTGTTAGGGCCCGCCTCTGTGGCAAGCTGTCAAAGATTCTAAAGCAGTGCTTCACAAGAACGCTCCTCGAATCGCTCAGGCCAAGCTGAAATCCTGCCTGCGATATTCCCTGGTCAAGGAGGTTGATAATCAGTCGAAGCAACTCAAGAACTGCGTTCACAAAAAAATGAGAAGAAACCGACAGAACGACAACGCGCGCCTGACACGGGAAACCACCTCCAGCGCCTAGGGCGTGGGAGTTGGCCCCGTCGAAGGTCTCCACGTTGTCCCATACGTCGGCTTTGTGGAGCAGCCCCTCGCTCATTCGGAGCTTCAGTATCTCAATGCAGTAGCTGTCCCTTTCAACCTTGAAAAAAACAAGACGTCGAGCTGGACAAATGAGCCTGACAATGACTCTGAGATGAAGACGTACATCACAGGATACATCCACCTCGTTCAAGAAAGCAGGACCACGTAAACTTTTCGGCATCAATCCAAACTGGATTTCTCAACAAACAATTTGCGGCGCAAGCCGTGAACGCTTACATTTTCTACCTCAAGCCCCTGGTCAGTCCATTCGAGGTTTCTTGCAGCAAGAGCTCGCAGCAGGGTCAAAATCAGCCTTGAAAGGGTGCACGGGCTTTGCAACAAAGCGCAAGTCGTCTAAAGAGGTCAAGTTTCTTTCAGCCCCAGCAAGCCAAGAAACTAGTCCAGAAGATGTTGTTGGCGAATCATTTGTCCCAGACTCGACCCAGCACTTGCCGGTCCAAGACCATGTCCACCTCAGGCTGAACCAAGATTCGCGACCGGCTAAAGATGGGTTCACTCAATTTGTTTTGGCGACGCTGTCGAGACACACTTTTCCCTGCCAATTTGTGTAGAGAGGAGTTCCACGCGGCACCCTGGCGCAGTCAAAAAGGCATTCCACTACTTACTACAATGGTCGCAACGTGTGGCAGCTGCCAGCAGCAAGAAAGTTGTCACCTCGACGCAAACATAAACATGCGCTTGCCTTATTTGGTTGACGCCAACGCATCGTACAGCGACCCAATCGCATCTCCGATCAGAGTCTGAAGGAGGCATTGCGTCAACTAGCTGCTCAGAGGCGGCCATGACAAAACAACCAGCTGTCTGTTTAGCACCAAAGCAAAACATTGAATTGGCAAAGCACACTCCACGGTCCAGCAAGGCACTTGTAACATATTATAACAATGTTCTTTGCGCGAAGACATTTCAAACTGAGGCTGAATTTCCACGGGCGCGCCAAGTGCATGTAGATCTATGAATCTATGACTTGTCGACTGGCTTTTCGCTGACACAGCTTCCAAACACAAGTGCTGGGCCCCACACCTTGAAAAAGCCAAATCAAGACCGCCTATTCCTGAGAATAGGCTGATCATGGGTAGCTTGCCCTCCTGGCCAAGAAAGCCTGCGTGACTAGAAAAACCCAGCGGTCAGCCCAGTCTGTCCTTGCCAGCTGCAGAAGGAAACATCTTGTGGAAGATTCGCTCGTCAACGGCCCCTTCTACCGCAGCCGTCCACCCCTGAGGAAGGCCTGGAAGTTAATTCAACCGGCTTCCCAAAAGAACATCACTTTCACTTGGCGTTCTGGTTCCAAACCAGAAGCGATTAGAAAAAATGAGAACAGGCCTGAAAACCACTCAGCCGTCTGAGGGGCCAGGTATTTGCCTGGCAGCTTCCCCGACTCCTTGACCGAAGCTTTGTACGCACTGCTCCATCGAATCTGATTGCTCAAATCCTGGCGTAGCGTCGAGGCAGGAAATCCAGTCGGCGTTTCGATGTTTCTGCGGCATGTGTTGCTAGAAGAAAGCACCTTTCCCGATGTTTGTAGCTGACCGTTCAAGACATGTTTGGGGGCCCCAACGCTTACAGCGCGGACAGAGACATCTTTCTCAGCGGCAGTTGTAGTGCCGGAGAAACAACCTTGACAGCTAAACTCAAAGGGATTGGGGGAAACTCTACAGATCAGTAATTAATATCTAAGGTCTTGGCGGATTGTGCTCCACGCGGAAAAGGTTCTCTTGCCAGAGAACACCGCTGCTCCGTTAGTTTTGGTCTCATTCTTCGAATTGGACACCTCATACAGGCTTATGGTATGAAATGAACGGGTACCATGTCAGCATCTGACTGTGGAAACCTGAATTATAGACTCAGGGCGGCGCAACTTCCAGAGAAAGCGGATCAGCTTTTGGAAGGTCCACACACCAAACACGCAGTTCAGAACAGTTTTCCGACGATACACAAGCACACCCTGGCAAAACACTTGTGCCAGATCCATCAAAGGGAATCTCCTTGGTAAACTTTCCGGTGTAGTCAGCAGTCCTCTCCTTCTGAGACTTCTTGGTTTTCTGGACCTGTTGCTTTTTGATGGTTTTCTGGACCTGGCAACAAAAACCAATAACTACAACCGTGAACAAAGCGCTTTCATTTCCCACCTCACATGCATATTCCCTGTCAAGTGAAAAAATGGCACCTTACGAACAGGTTTCGCTTTGGCTTTTGGAACTTTGGCTGGCTTGGCTTTTGCAACCTTGGTGGGCTTGGAGGGCTTGGCTTTTGCAACCTTGGTGGGCTTGGACATCGCCATCTGCTCCTCTTCAGACCTAAGAATCGCTTGCGATGCTAAAATGGGAAGGCCTGGCTGTATAGGCGATGATCAACTGAGAGTATGGCTCCGTCAGCTCAAGCACAGGAGCAAACATTTTCGCTTGAACCAAAAAGCTGCGTGGATTTGGCACCCGCCCCGTCAACAGTGTTTGACTCCAACTGTAACTTCATATTTGCAACAGAAATGTTCTTTGAAAATCGAACACTGAAGTCCCTGAAGTAAAAAGGGCTGCGGCGCCGGCATCAAAAAAACTCGCAATATAGAGGTTAGGTGGGCTCACGCTTTCTAACTTTTTTCATTATGGCAATGGGCAATGGGGGTGAAGTCGAGAGCGCGCTGGAACCGCTGTCCGGAATGGGGAAAAATTGAAAGTTCTTTGAAAACCTGCCTGTAATATAGCAGGCACCGACGCTTCATTGTCACCAGCAAATGGTTTGACGAAGCAGGCAGCGCTAACTAGCGGCGACGCAAGGAGCCAACTGCATAAAGCCCAAGTCAATCCCAAAGCCCAATTCAAATGAAATTTCTTTTTTAGCAGTCTTTAGCTTGTGCACCTGCTATTTGCGCTAAGAGCTGAAGGCCCGTGGCACATGGGAAGCATGAATGATGTGTTTCTATCTTCCCATTCTCAAACGCTTTTTCTTTCTGTGTCGTCCTTCAGTTCATGCATGGCCTCTTCGAGCTCCTGCTCCGGGAGCGCCCGGAGGACCCCTATGCCTTCATGGCGGGAGCCCGAAGAACGAAACGAAGCAGAAAGAAGGGGACAGAAAAGGAAGACGAGAAACAGAAAAGCGAAAACACAAGAAGTTGACAAGAAAAGGACACTTGCATTATGTGCAACATGTTGAAACACAGCGGACAAGTCTTCTTACCCTACCGTGTGACGCTGCCAAGACGGGCAATGAGAAATGAAAAGAAAAACAGAAAGGAAGACATTTCGCAGGCCTTAGGAAGAAACTACGAACGAAGCAAAGGAGCAACGGAGCGCTAACGGAGCGACGGTTTGCGAGTTGAAACTCTCGTCTCGCTTGCCAAGGCGAAGCGCTTCCGTCAGGCCGAATTCGGGTCTCGGGTCGGTCGTTCGGCTACAAGAAGACGCTAGTTGCTAGTAGGATGTCGCTACGAAAAGAGTTTTCGTCAGGCTGCGGTCATGGAGTCACAGTCCGCAGAGGCAGTTCTTTCGTCCAACGACTCGACGGCGAGTGCCAAACCGCCAGGCTTCGAGAAGTTCCATTTCAACTGCCACGCCCAGCGGTCTCGCGACCGAAATCCGTTTGCACAATTCAACTGCCAACGTGACAATTTGTGGCGTCTTTCGGTCAAAAAAACGTAAACAAAGGGGTTTGTGAGGTTCCACACTGTCGTCCATGTCGCCGAGTCGAGAATCTCTGGCGCACAGAGCCCAGATAGAACACTCGGAACTCGCCCAACGAAGTGAACTTGTGTCCTTTGCTCGTAGCTTCTTGCTCCTAGTAAGGCCAGGAGCCCCGTTCGTAGCGTCCTTGCTCCTGAGGGAAAGCTTTGGCCAAGTGCCAGAAGGCTCTTACAAGGCACGAGAGTGGTGCTAGAGTCGGAGTAGAGGGCCGCTCAGGTGACGTTCCAACGAATTTGAGAAAGGTCGATGGTTTCGTCGTCCACATTTTCTTTTTAATTTCTTGTTTTCTGTTCTTTCTTTTTTTCTTTTTTTTTCACCTTTTCACTCTTTCATTCGTTTTCTTTTTTTCATTTTCGTATCTTCGGGTCCGACGAGGCCGTGTTTCGATCCCTCCGCGGCCGCGATGTGGCCCGACTGGTGATCTCTCCAGGTGAACAGGCGCGAGAGAAAAGGAAAAAGGAAAGGAATGTGCGAATTCTAATTTCTAGTATTGTTTCCTAGTAGCTTCTTGTTACTACTAGTAAGGCACTTGTTACTAGAAGCGATGCACTTGTTCCTAGTAGCGAACATTGTTTCTTCAAAAAGTCGGACTTGACGGAAAGGGAAGGAAGCGGTCGCTCGAGAGGGTCGTGGAACGCTTTCGTCGTGCGCAGAATGTGCTGCGCGTGTGTTAAAAGCGCCTGGCGTTTGGCGTGTTTCACGCCCTTTTTCTGAAAAAAATCCTGACGGAAAGATTCACAGTATCTCATCCATGTCGACACCAACAGTGATGTGTATCTGTGTATCAGGTGAAGGTTCAATTGTATACAAGCACTCCGCTTCTCCTTCCTCCTCCTTCCTCCTTCCTCCTCCTCGCGCTCCCGGATCTCTTCTCCGCAAGCTCCCGGATCGGTGGGCACTGGACCTCAACTCCGCCCTTCCAATCCCACTGAAGAATTTAGAGCTTTAATGCTAATTCTAATTTAGTAGAATTCTTGCTCCTATAGTAAGGCCAAGAGCCCCGTTCGTAGCTTCTTGTTACTAGCAGCGATGCCAGGAGCCCCGAGTAGCTTCTAATTTGATTTCATTCTAATTCCAATTCGTGTTTATAGTAGTGAACACTGCTCCTAGTAAGGCCAGGAGCCCCGTTCGTAGCGTCGCTCCTAGTAGCGATGCCCTTTGTTCCTAGTAGCTTCCTCCTGCCAGAATTGCCCGAAAGCAAAAGTGCAAAGTATATCGAATGTAATCTATCAGAACACTTTCTTGGTTACCGGATTTGGCCATCGCAGAAAAACTCTTCACTCATTGGGTCAAGATTACAAGTGTTGTGACAGGAAGAGACTTGGTGGATGGCTCTCAACACGTCCAGATTGGCGCTTCGCGTGCACCGACGCTCCTGTTCACAATGACGCCGCCACGCGACTGACATTCACGTCGCCGCTCCTAACGCTCAGGTCCCAACACTTGTCACACCACTTCGCTGACCACTGGCCGGGGCGCAGCTCCAACATACCCACTCCACCCAACCCATTGGGCCAACTTCTTAGCGTTCAGCATCTTCAACTACAATTGGCCCTACAACAGCAACTTCAGCAACGGCTCCTGCCTTCCATCCTTTTTTCGGCACCGTTTTCGATTTCATTTATTTACATGTAGCTTTGCGCCACAGCACTAGCATCCAGGCTCCGTTCCATCCACGTCTCCCAAGTTTAGCCCAAACAGGGAGGAGTTGGGGCTTCGGGTCCCTCACCGTCGTGACGGGTGAACACTGCGCCTGGCGCCATGCAAGTGGTCAGACGGCATCGTTTCGTCTGTGGACGCACTGGGCGTGTCGCTGTGCCTTGGGAATGGCAGTGGCCGTCCGAGGTGAGGCGCGCTGGAGGAAGTTGGGACGCTGGGCTGACGCTGATTGATACAGAGAGTTCTTGCTTTGTGGGTAGAGTTTGCTGAAGCTTTATGGCGATTGGTCCGGAGCGGAAGCTGATCGCTTCCGTGTACGTGCGTAACTTTTGAATTTCAGCTGACGTGCCCAGCAGTTACATGTTGTTCTCGGCATTTTCTGTTCGTTTTCAGGTTCGATTTCGTTCCTGCGCTAGACTGGTGCAGTAAAGGGCTACCGCGTTCTTCGTTTCTGCGCTAGACTGGTAAAGGGCTACCGCGCGACAGATGAACGCCGAATTGCGCGCTTCCTTTTGTTGTGTTTGTTTTTTGTTGCATTGTGCTCACAGTTTATTTTGCATTTTTGCAGGTCGGGTCGGTCAAATCCCGCCTGGAAAGCGCAACATCGACTCCTTCTTCAGCGATCCAACTCTTCTGGTCCCCGCCAGAATTTATGAAGGGCAATTCCCGATTCTTGTGGATCTTCAGACTTTGTCGTTCCAAGTGATTAGGCTTGGCGAGCCGCTTCCCAACCATTCGACCCTGGAGGAGCAACAGGGGCTTGACGTGTGAGAGAAGCACTGGCAGAGCATGTCTGTGCACGCATACACTGTAAGTTTTTTAATTTGCAGGAGTGGTTTGTAGATTCTGGGCTGGTCGTGCTGCAGATTGTGTGCTCTCAGCGTGACACTTGGCTGCACACGTTTTATAGTATTCGGGTCACTCCGCGGCAACACCCGCCCGCACCAGTGATTCTCAGGTCAAAAAGAATATTCATTAATCTTTCTATTTTGGGACCCTTTGACAAATTGTTTAGTTTTGCAAGCATTGTTATTGGATCTAATTTTTGGCTTTCTTGAAATGGTACATTTTTCAAGGGGTCCAAACTACCACAACAATGCTTACAAACTTACATAATTTAGACCCCTTGAAAAAATGTACAGCTTCAAGGAAGTTTAAACATAGGGCGATATGTACAACAAAATATACAATGTGCATGGTCGAGACAAGGCTTGGAGATGAACGCAGCGTGAAATGGATGAACAAATTGCAGGACCATCTTATAAATCCTTTAGTTGTGTCTTTCTTACCATATGCAAGCGTTGTTATCTATCTATCTATCTATCTATCTATCAGCCTTTCGGTGCAAGCGGCTAGCCCTGGCCACGAATCCGTGATGTGAGTGCCATGAAGCCACCGGCAGCTGGATCTTTGGGGGTCCGGGCCCCCGTGGATGTTACGCATCCTCCTGCTGATCTTGGTTCTGCAAGCTGCTTGTTCACCGCGGTCCCAATTCCGGGTCCACTCTGCATCTTGGCCTTGTTGGTATGGTTTTTGAAAATAGGAGTGTGAAGCACCCCCTGAACAATTGAGCGAAGGGCAAAATGAATCCCACGGGATCAGTGTCGCAAAGAAGAGATGCTTCCAAAAGGCTCATAGGTGCCAGGCTATGGATGGCATGGAGCAACATAGAGGCAAGACGCTTCTTGGCCCGCCTGCTGTGTTGAGCTCAGCCATCACTCCATTGCCTGGACCTGCCAGAATGACCAGACCATCCAGATCCAGCATGTCCATTGTGAGCCGGAACACGATGAGCTTGACTTTTCCTGTATTCATCGAAGTTCTTCAATGGGCTCAGCTCCAATGCATGGATGCACTGCTTCGTCATAGTCTACAAGTGAATGTCCTCGTGCAAGCAGATGTAGAAGATCAGTCACCTTTTCTGCATGGCGTCGAGGGAACCACGCAAGTTGCGGAAAGTCCTGCCAGGACTTCTTTGGAATCAGAGGAGCAGGCTCTATGTGATGAAGTGGTGCTGATGCAACGTCCTGCGGGTGCAAGAGGAGCTGGATATGATGTTTCGGACCCGGCTGGGAGCTTGACAAGCAGAGGACAGTCCGCTGCTGTGTCAGGTTTCAGTGGTGAGACTCGGAACACTGACTTTGACTGGGTCACAGCTTGGAGACAGGTTCGACAATATCTCTGCGCATATGACGGAGCAGGGGCACCTGGCCATACACAGATATTGGTACATCTGCTGGCTCTGAGAAGAGGAGCAACTGTCACAAGCGGAGTTTATTGCCCTAGTTGGGTGCTGGCTGATCAAGCTGCAATCTATCATATTTCGGACTGGCGTGAAGAATATGCTTTCCAATGTGACCATGCATTCACCAGAGCGTTTCCAGTCATGCATGAATTGTACCAGAATATGCCGGCCATCGTGGTGGTGCAGTATCTGAAAATTCAGTCTTGCCGTTGGTCGTGCAAGTTGTCGTTGAGGTGCACCAGGTCCATGTGGTGATGCGAGCGCAGCAATATGAACATGTGTCTGAAGTCATTGACTGGGTGCGCGCGCAGACTCAGGTCAGATTGCCTGTCGAGATCTACTACCAAGCAACACGTGTGGATTATTGGCAACAGATTGAAGTTCGAGCAGGCGCGGTTCTGCAGGTACGAAGCCGTACGCAACGAGAGCTGGAAGATCCGGTGCAGTCCACTGGTGAGACTGGCCCCTCGTTGGACCATCGCTGGTCATCGCTGCCATCGGAGCCGCGGCCCATCGCCGCAGAAGAGGAGGGAGCTGGAACTGAGGAGCATACGCTTCCGTGTTCTCCTAGTCTCTCTTCCATGGGGCTGACTAGACAGTGAACTGGTTCTCTTCACACGACACCTGGTGTGTTTCCTTTCCATGCGAGCCCTCTCCGAATGGAGATTGAGCACCTTGGAACAGCTGCGCCACGAACTGGCAGCTTTGTGCTTAGCTGTTCAGTCACCATGAACTTTTTCTTCTGCTCTCGCCAAAGTGGCTTTTGGGGCAGAAGGTGTTTTTCTATTGTTTGATTGTTGACGGTCGAAATGACCAGTATCCTACGGCAGCGCACCGGTGCATTGACTGACTCGCTAAGTCAGCCGGAGACACCTGTTCTCTGTGCCCCGCATTCGACGGACTCCCGACGAGCGCCTCAAACTCAAAAAAGCTATCTATCTATCTATCTATCTATGTTTCGACCCCCTTGAAATATACGTTTTTCAGGGTGTCCAAATTATCATAATTTGCATGCGTTTTAACCAGCGATACAATTGCCACCAGCTGACGCATATGTCGCCGCAATAAACCATACATCTGCAACCAGTCGACGCGTGTGATGCAATCGTGAAAGATAAACTGATACATAGACTATTGAGAGCAGTCGTTTTTGTTTGCCTTTCACCAGACACACCTTGTGATGCGGGATATGCGTTTTCGTTCCAAAACGAAAATCCCCACAGCAATGAAGGCGCTACTAACAGTTTAATGTCTCATCACCAGTATTCAACAGTGCCTGTGCATTGATATTTTGAAGGGAGCGCCAAATAAGTATGAGTTTGTAAACCACGTTTTTATGCGCAATAAACTGCAACAGCAACCAGCTGATTCTGTGGACCCCTGCAAAATGTACATCAAGTTTTGTCCAACAACGCCTCCACATGGATATATACTTTTTGGGCGTGCGTATTCGTTCTGTTTTCTGACACCTTTGAAATTGTACATTTTTCCAGGGCGCCCACATTACATTCAATTTGCTTGACATATTTCTCCACGCCCTTAAAATCGTACATTTTCCAAGAACCGAAATTATATCAACAATGCCTCCACCTGGCTACAATTTGGAACCTTGACTTTCTACAATAGGTTATGTAATTGCAACCCGCTGAGGTCGAATGATAAAATAAATATTTACAATCATTTTTGAAATGCACATTCTTCAGGGCGCCTAACTGTATATCCAACAAGGTTTCCACATGAATTTAGACTTTTTACATAGTCATTATAGTCATTCTATTTTTCGATTTCCTCGAAAAGGTACGTTTTAAGGCTAAGGAACCCACATTATTTCAATTCTTTACTGCTTTCAGAAACCAACATCGTATTCATCAACACCTCCATATGGCTATCTTTGGAACACCAACACTTTTTAATTGGAAGCAATGGCAAAATAGACAGCATCTTGAGCACAGAACATTTTTTACAATGAACTGCGCCATTGCAATCAGCTGATGCAAAACATGCAGTCATGAAAGGTTTATTGAAACGAGACGTTTTTTTGCTCTTCATGGACCTGGTGATGCAAATGATACGATGATAGAATATTTCATAGGTACGGAAATTAGAACAGCCCACTCCTCTCAGACACACCTCGCGATGCAGAATATGCATGTTTGCCCACAAACGAAAATGCGCCCCCAGCTGTTTAGCGACGATCGCGCTACTTACAGTTCAACACCTCAGCGCCTTCGGCGCGGGCGGATTTTTCACTTGAGAATGCTCGACGTCGAATGGTTGATGCCCTGGTCGAAGCCAAGCAGCTCCATCAGTGGATCCAATTTGGCCACACGGCATGCGACAGGCTATATATACAACAACGTAACACCAAGCATCGTGGACACCGCCAATCATCCCGCTCCCCAGCGACACGCCGGATTTACCAGCGTGTCCCCCAATGGGCCGCGCAAAACCACGTGGCATAGCGATGTCGCAGACGTCATTTGGCCACAGACTAGATGTCAAGCCGCATCTCAGCCTGTAGTACATGTCTCCGAGCAAGTGGCCAATTCTCAGGCCAGTTACATCTGTACTGGGACTCCCACAAGCCGCTTCCTGAATTAGACTTGTACTACTAAGTCGCCAGTTCTGACGCCACAGCGCCCAGAAGCACTACATTTGCACTACAAAGTTTTGCCAGTTCTGAGGCCAGCTCCCAGAAGCCTTCGCCGACTACATTCAAGTGGCCAGTCTGAGGCTACGGCTCCCAGAAGCCGCTTCCCGCGGGTTCTGAGACGCTTCCCGACTACAATGGAGCCCGCCAATTCACAGCCCAGAATTCGCACGATCCCGGTCACGTTTACGCCCTCTCCAACGCCGAGATGCACGAGCAAAGATATGTTCTGTTCACATATGTTTACTTGTGCGTTTACTCAAGCAAGACCCCCAAAGATATATTTGACTTTGCAAAGGACTTAAGCAAAACCCACCAAAATTTGTACTTAATGTTGCGTATCATTTTTCAGGCCCTAGCGAACGTTATAGATTGTTTTGCATATGGTTTTACTTTATCAGGACCCCAACGAAAGTGACCCAAGCAAGATCCCTGCACCGAAACAATTCTAGCAAGTCTAGTATGACCAACTCTGTAGCAGCGCTCCAGAATAGCACACAAAAAATGTAGCAAAACCACACCTGCAAACTGCAGATGTACTTCTAGCATACATACAAATGCAGCTGTACAACTCCCAATTGTATTCATGCAGATTTGTAACGCAACAATTTTCAACAGAAGAACCCTTCGCAGTGCTCCCGGGAAAACACGAAACACGCCAAATGCTTCCGGCTACGCCCAAGCGTTCAATACAAGAAGGAGGCAAGAGAGGCAGCCAAGACGGACCAAATTTGACGCACGTACAGCGACGCAGGGCGTATCATAAGTATGCTGGTGTACCTGGGCGGGGAAGTCCTTTGTCGCCTACAGAAAAAGCTGCAGGTTGCCAACTTCCCATAGCATACCATAATTTCTTTGTGCGTCCCAGATGAGGACCTTTTCTAAACCGTTTTGTCAAAAGTGTGCGAAAATGTGCAAAACATGCGGTCTTTTGAGTCCAGCCTCTAGGCATTGTCACTGCAAACCTAAGGTGTACACATGCAGTGCCTTTTCCGTCAAACTTTACAAAATCGAACAAACGTGTTGGAACTGAAACCCGGCAAAACCACTTGATTTGCACGGTTTGAGATCTTAGGATGCCCGAGTGCAACACGTGATCACCGGCGCCAGTGAAGGCCGGCCAGTGCGTTAGAGAATTGCGATTCGCAGCAGAACACGGGAACTTCGGTTTTGCGTTTTCGGATCTGTGTGTTTCTTGAGTTTGTTTGCCACTCAATATGGGCGGTGTAGACCTGCAGACCCCAGTTGCGGCATCGGAAGCGAAGACAAGCAGCAGACAAGTTTGGAAACAGAGATTCCATTGAGAACCCACAAGAAGAGGAGACAAAGACAGTTTTCTTAGTCGGTTGAAAACTACGCGAATAGCGAGAAGTGAACTCCATCAGTTACACTCCTTTACAGCATCCTGTCGCGCATCGGTTTCGGTTCGGTCTTCCGTTGGAAGGGACCAAAAAAAAAGGGAAACGCGAACATTGTTACTACTAGTAAGGCACTTGTTACTACTAGCGATGCCAGGAGCCCCTAGTAGCTTCTTGTTACTACCGCTTGTTTGCCGTTTTCTTTCTTTTTTCGAGGCATGAGACTTTGGAACCTGGGTGATGCGGAGCAGGCTGGGCGCGTCGGGTGCACTTTTTCATTGGCTCAGTTTTTCATAGGTGTGGTCTACTGAGTCTACTGTGTGGGCGCACGAAGCACAGGTAAAGGAATTCCCAGTGAGAAGTTCCGTGTTGGTCAGACGCCTAGTATTCTCTCTTTTCCTCTTTTCCTCTCTTTCGTTGCTTGTGCGCAAAGGCCATCTCCGTCGACTGGAAAACAATGCGTGCGCCAGCTGAACGACACATAAACTATTTGTGTTTTTGCTTTATCGCTTTATGTGGGCAACTGACCAGTAGGGCTGGTAGAAAGCAAGGAGTCAAGGATGCCCCCCCAAACGGGAATTTGTACCAATACCAAGGATGACACATTTTTGAGAAGGAAGTGAGTCTTGGAAGCACGTCAAAATTGCGTCACAACGTGACTGAATAATTAGGTATTGCATGTACGACCTTTGACGGGAAACTGCAGCTCTGGGACACCAGCTTCTGCCTGAGAATTGACATGAAATCAACGTGTTTTTTTTGCCTTAAGGAGTTTGAAGACATTTTGTTTGTGTTTTTTTGAGCTTAAGCGCGTGCGCATGCCTGCAGGTGGTTGTAGCAAGAGCATCGTCGCTCATTCGGAGGAGGTGCTCCTTCGAAAGAAAGAGAGAAAAGGAAAGGAGGAAAAAGAGGAAACTACTAGTAACAAGTGCATCGCTACTAGGAGCAAGTGCCTTACTAGTAGTAACAAGAAGCTATTAGAATTAAATTAGAATTACATTTTCCTCCTTTTCCTCCTTTTTCCTTGCAGCTCCGTCCCCTCCCCCTCGCGCTTCGAAGGATTTGTGATTTGTGAGGCGTGCTGCCTTCAGGTTGAGTGGTCTTCTGATGAGGCGTGTGGAGAAGAGGCTCTCAGGCTGAAACGAGAAGAAGAAGAGGCCGTTCTGACAGAACGACTCTCTTCGTAACGACGCTTTCACCGGTTGAGGCCTTGACCGGGAGCTCTGACAGTGTGAAGTTTTGGTGTCTCAAGGCGCCGTGGCGCACGCCAAAGAGAGAACGAGGGCAGTTGCACCGGTTTTATGAAGATCTCTGCATTGCATCAAGAAAATGCTGCAGTAGTTTCTTGCTGTCACGCGCGAAGAAGGTCACGCGCTGAAGCGCAGCTTGTTCTTAAAGTTTCTTTGTAACTTTGTCAGGGCCTGTTTTTTCTGTTGTTCAACTGTGGAAACTTCAGGTTCATTCGGTGGAAAGAAAAACATCAATTTTCTTTCAGGTAATCATAATCTTTGGTTTGGAGCCAGGAAGAAGTGATTTCGGCAAAATTAAATAAGAGAAAAACATGTAAAAGAACGTTTAAACTGATAGAAGAAAAGGAAGAGAGAGAGAGAGAGAGATTTTTTGTCTCTTCTTTTGTCCAGCAAAAGAGTCGACAAGAGAAGTCTCGGTGTTGTAGAAAGGGCCCTAAAGGCGCTCCGAGAACAAGAAAGACAAAGAGGATTTTGCAGCAAACCGAAACCGCTTGAGCCAGGCCTTTCGCTGCAAAGGCCTTTTGAAAACGACCGTCGCTTGAGCCTCGATGTGGATTCTGGAAACAAGTTGTCAACTCCCAGAATTTCCGATAGATCACAGCGTGTTCAAACAAGTTGTCGGCTCTAGTGGCTGTTTGTTTTGCATTGTCTCGACATCAAAGGTAGACTCACTCTCTGTGGACTGGCCCGGCCGAAGGTGAGTGGAAGTTTGCTGCGGGTTGCTACTTGTTTCTTTCTCCAAGCAGTGTGGCCAATTACAGCGTAGAGGGGAGGTGCACCGGTTCGCTCATTTTGTGAAGCTGGGCTGACCTCTTCGGAGACCGTGCTTCACTGGCCTTGCGAACTCGGGAACTTCACTTGCGGGAATGAGCCGCCAGTGAGTCAGATCTTGCTGGTGACGGAGAGCGCGGAACAGACTGGGATTGAGTTGGCTCGTGGCAAGCGGGGCATCTTGCACAAGCACGGAGAAGTTGCATGTGTAAATTCGTTGGAAGCTCGTCCCAAGATGGATGGCGGTGGGGAATGTTAGCGTCGGAGATGGAAGCGGGGTCTTCCCAGCAAGCAGCGGGTCAGGTTGTGGAGTGCTTTGGCGCCGTCGGTGGCGGACCAATGAGCAAACGATGGAAGAGAGGAGGAAAAGAAGCGAGAAATTCAAAAGAAGCCTCTCTTATTGCTGAGACTGTGGCCCGAGTCAGAATTCTGTGGTGAGAAGAAGACCATTGAGGAGGAGAGCTGATCCTGAGAAGCTTGGACGTGACACACGCTGAAGCGCTGCAGAACATTCCAACGCACTCCAACGTCTATAAGTCAAACGTGGTCTGACTGTTCCGCACGGGCAAAGCAGGAAGTGCGAGCTCAGCAAGGTAAAGAAACCCTAGGTTCGGACAAGTCCCGGGGAAAGACAGCTGTGTTTCTTCGTGGTAAGCCTGCGAGTACCTGTCGCGCTTCCAGTGCAAAAGATTGGCGTGGCAGTAATGCTGCTCAGCTGCGTGACATGCGTCATCAGCTCATGTCATGAGCATGACGCACTCAAATACATTAAATGACTACCGCAGGCCGTTATAACGCAGGCTACCTACACTCTAGCGGTTTTGGCGCCTGAAGGGGTTCTTCAGGACAAGGGGCCCAGACCCTTCTGTTGATAAAGTTCACATGGCATTGCTAGAGCGCCGTGCTGTCGCGCGTTCACGGTCCACACACACCCCCAGCGCATCATTCTGCAGTGGCGGGGCGGTGGTCCGCCATGGCCCCCCGGTCCGCCCGGGCCGGGTCCGACGGATGAGGGGTGCGTCGTAGCCGCTAGACCATGCCGGCCGTCAGGTGTTAGCCCTTTCCGCATTTGTTCAGATGTCTAGGTCTGCTCATTGGCCGTCTACTCATTGAAGGCTGTAAAGTAGCGCGTTGAAGAGCAGAAAACAGATGATGGGGCAGCCTTGTCGCCGCCAAGCTGAGGCTGCCAGAATTTATTGCGGCCCACTCAGAGATCTGGGCGTTTCCCAAAATTCGTGCAACCAGGACGACTGCGCGTTGGCTCCGTTTTTGGGCACTGCGCTCTGTAGTTGACAAGTTGCCTCAGCAAAATTCCTTTTGCGCGTTTGGTGATCGCTTGAAGGCTCCGCTGTGTGAGCGCGACTGGCCTTTTGTGACTCCATCCCCCAGGGTCACGTTTTTGTTTGCCCGCAGACGTGACCTGCGTCAACACCTTGTTTTACTTTCAACCAAACCCTCCCGATACTGCTGCAAAATTCAATTCGTTCGCAGGTGGGTTACAGCGGCCGACATGGCTGCGAGTTTCCAATGTCGCTAGACACCATCGAAGGCAGACCCCAACTTTTGTTTATCCACGCTATCAAATGGACCGCGCTGCAATTTCACGCAAAACAGGGGGGCGACCTTTGAACCCGACCGCTCGGCTACCTTCCGTCCAGCTCCTGGTGGCCGCATGTTGTGGAGCGGTCTCCTTTAGCGCGGAAATTTTGCGCGGTCATCCCGGGATCTTGGATCGCGTGTGTCATATTGAGATCTCATCTCACGCACAGATCTTGCATTCGCAAGTATTGTTTACAGTCCCACACACACACACTGCTTGGGGCGCATTGCTAGGGTAGTTTGCAGCATCCTTTTGCTATGTTTCGCCCGCGTCGTCTGAGCTGCTTTACTCAGTCGATTTCGAGGGCCTATGTGGGCCTCCGCACTGGTGTGGTGCGTCTTTGGGATTTGGCATCCTTGGAGGTGCAAAAGGGGCTGCTCCATTTTGCACACCGGCGTTGCAGTGTAATTTTTTAGATGTAGGCTTACGTCTGTATAGGTGTGATTACATCTATTTTTATATAAGTGTGTGTGTGTCGTTGATTTTCACATAGACCGATTATGCGCGGCGTTTCCGGCAGGTGATTTGCGACTTTGAAGGGGGCGCGATGGCTGCCAAGGATGGACGGCTTCGGTTTGCTCTAAGAAACAACGTTGAAAATGCAACAGGCAAAGGTATGACCGGTGTTGCCACAACTGAATGCTAGGGCTTTTTAAAGCGCTGCAAGAGTGGCAAGCGTTTGTGCTTTCCGTCTTTGGAATCTCGTATGGCGGTCAACTTGGTCCCTTTTCTTGTTTTCTGCGTTCCTGTCCCTTCCTTCTGTCGCAACCTTTGTGCTCGGCACGGCCCCCCATTACTGCATCTCATTTCTTCACTTGCGTTTCACTTTGTCCCTTTTCGCCCTTCACCATCTCTTGTTCCCGCTGTGCCCGAGGACATAGAGTACATAACTGTACTTCGTTCATTCCGTCGTTCCATTTTTCCGACGAGGCAAGTCTGTTGGAACAACCTTCTCGCAACGCCTTGCGCCCTCCTCTTGGACTTGGATTCGTAACGCCTCACACAATTCTGTGTGATAGGGGCAAATGATAGTTTCGTTTCGACAAACACCTCATGAGGTTGTTGTGATGAAATTTGGAACTCAATTTGCGCTCAGTTTTTGTTGTGACACCAAACAATGAAACAATCACCAGAAACTCGAAAACCGAAGCCACCGAAGCCTTTTGATTCGCTTTGAACAATGCCATAGGAGGCTGGCACTGCAGTCAGTGGCATGGCGATTGATTGCATCGGACGAAGAGCTGTGAGTGGTTTTGAGGTGACAATGCCACAGTTTATTGTCTTGCAGAAAACAATGCAAACTTGCTGTTTTGTTTCTTTTTGTTTTGTTTCTGCGCCGCTAAAGTGAACCGAATCAGAAGGTTTGCATCTCAGACCGGACTTTCGGAGGATGGACACCTGGCTTACTGGCACTTTGAACCGCCAGGCGGGGTGTGTGACACTAAGTGTGTTGGACAAAGCGAGGGTCATGAGTAAAGGTCCCTACCGCAACACATATATATATATAGCCTATATATGCAATAGCAATGGTAGCCACGTAGTGCCCTGGGTGAAGTCCAAGGTGAACAGCAAGTAACGAAATGGCGGTGGCCACACAACCGACTAACCTCAACCTGTTTCACACTGAACCACGACTATGTCACGCACTTACGTGTATGACATGCTTCACTTGCGCCCGTGCTAAGCTCTTCGGTCAGCTTGTCAACATGTCTTGAAATCAAACATTTCTTGCAATGTCAAACACAGTAGTTCCTGTCCAAGTCGTTTCTCCCAACTGTAAAATTATGTCAAACACAGGTCCTCAGTGACAGCTAACAGTAAGCCAGTCCTCCCCACAGCTGCCTCAGCGGCGCAAGGACCCGAACCGGAAAAGTCCGGTCGTTTTCCGGTGCTTTGAAAGGCGTTTTCAAATGGTTTCGGGTTGTACTGGTGCTTATCTCCAGCATCAACCCAACTTCAGAAAAATATGGTGCCACCTGCTGTGCCAACTCAATGCTCCAAGGATCCCTCGAAGCTGGGTTTTCTCAAAATCAGTTGTCGGAAGGTTTTTCCCCAAACAGTTTACTGTTAGGGGTTCTCAATGCTTTACAGAATGGTCGCCTTGGTGCTGGATGGTCTGGTCGGGTTCCGGGTTCCCGGCTGGCTTGTCTCCCACTTCCTTTCATTTGTCTCCCACTTCTTTTCAATTGTCTCCCAGGCTGGGTGCTTGTAGTCGGGTTTCCGGCCGGCTTGTCTCCCACTTCCTTGCATTTGTCTCCCACTTTTTCCCCAAGCAGTTTACTGTTAGGGGTTCTCAATTCTTTCTTAAGATGTGTCCGCGCTGGCGATGCAACATTTCTATTCATTTGTCTCCCAGGTCTGTCGCTGGTGGTGTCCGCCCTTTTCTGCAGGCGATGCAGCATTCTATTCATTTGTCCCCCAGGCTTGTCACCGGTGGTGTCCGCCCTTTTCTGCTGTTTCCACTGCTGGGTGTCCGCCCTTTTCCGTTGGCCATGTAGCATTTCTATCCATTTGTCTCCCAGGTCTGTCACTGCCAGTGTCCGCTCTTTTCCGCTGGCCATGCAGCATTTCGATTCATCTCCCAGGTCTGTCACTGCTGGTGTCCGCCCTTGTCCGTTGGTCATGCAGCATTTCTATGCATGTGTCTCCCAGGCCTGTCACTGGTGATGTCCGCCCTTTTCCGCTGGCCATGTAGCATTTCTATTCTTTTGTCTCCCAGGTCTGTCACTGGTGTGTCCTTGTCTATTGGCCATGAAGCATTTCTATTCATTTGTCTCCCAGGTCCGTCACTGCTTGCCATGTAGCATTTCTATTCATTTGTCTACCAGGTCTGTCACTGGTGGTGTCCGCCCTTGTCCGTTGGCCATGATTTGTCTCCCAGGTGTGTCACTGCTGGTGTCCGCCCTTTTCCGCAGGCAATGCAGCATTTCTATTCATTGGTGCTGCCGCCCTTTTCCGCTGGCCATCTTTCAGGTTTGGTGCCTGCACTGCTGTTTTCTGCCGCGTGACTGTCTCCGGGAGTGCATTCCTGCCACACTGTGTAACTCTCTCAGCTTTGTTTTCCTTTTCGGGCAAGCGTTGGATGAATGACCGGATTGGATTTCGGCGGCGGGGCAGCGATCTCTCTGTTCAGCTGGGACGGAGGGCATGCGTCAGGCGCCAAAAATCAATTTCATGTCACATCCTTCGCTCCTCACGCTTCTATTTCTTGTCCTCACGTGGTCAGCTCCTTGCTGATTGAGCAGCATGACCAGCATCATGTTCGCACTTGAAGAATAATTCCCCCAAAAGGTTTACTGTCAGGGCTTCTCAATTCTTTCTTAAGATGTGTCCGCCCGCTCTGTACTGCTGTGTCCGTCTCTGCCTTGCAATCCTTTACGTTCGTCTCCCAGCTCTGGGCTGCTTTGTCTCCCAGCTCTGGACGTCGCAAGCTCTAGTTTCGATTTTGAAAAACACAAACTGTTTGGGGTCTACGGTGGTGTAATTTTCACTCCTACGTGTGGCATTCAAATTCAACTCACTGGCTGGGACAGTGCAACACCTCCTTGTGGCTTTTCCTCTGTGGTCACCCCGCACTGTGCAAACTTGCCACTTGTACTTGTTTTGAATGGCCTGCTCTATTGCGAGCCATTCTTTGTCATCTTTGGACCCCCTGCACACAGGAAATCATCGACGTGTCCTGCTATCCCTCAAAGCACTGTGTGAGCGGGAAGTTTCTGCGCTTCGATACCAAGTTTCTGAGGCTGGCGCATCCACCAAGCCATAGCATCCCGATCTGAACGATCTCAGAGTGGTGTTGGATGCTCTCTGACACATCACCCTTCTCCACCTGTTTTGTGCGTGAAGGAGTGGCAGGTCTGTCGTGTGACTGTCGTTGTTGCCCGGTGTTCATACCGGTTGTAGCCTTTCAAGATCGCTCTTAGCGTATGTTCCATCCTTCAACTTCAGTATCCATCGGCCGATGGGCTCAACTGGAGGTCGAAGGTGTGGTGGGATTGCGAAAGCTCGTGCTATGTAGTTTGTAACTTCCACGCCCGAAAAGCCTCTTGAAACGGTTTTTCTACTATGTAGTTCTTCAGGTGTCAAGTATTTTTTCACTACTTCGACTGCACGTCTCTTCAGCTGTGTAGCAATGTAGGCTGTCATGTCTGCTAAAGCTTCTTCTCGGCCACGTTTTGACTCTGGGATGGTGATCTCAATCTCTTGCTGCATCTTGTTCACCAGACTTCTCCAAGCGGGTGGTGGTTTTGACGGCTTGGGTTCCACCAGCTTGTCGGTGTCCATGTCGTCGGTCTGGCGGCTTCACTTCCAGGAAGGTTCTGGTCCGAGTTTGTGACGTCGCACGCGGGGTGGTGCTGGTGTTGTCATCTCTATGTCTTGTCTGTGCCATTCGTGCCATCTGGTATCTGAGAGATGCACCAAATCTCATATTCGTTCCCTCCCTCTTGTGCTTTCTGGTCTTCATCGGTCAGGTGTTCCAGCTCTTCTCGGTGGGATGCTCTCAACTGCCTCTCTCACCATATGAACCTCGGAGTTGACCATCTGGTTCCCGTCGGGTTTCTGTGCGGATTCTCCTGAGAAAGCTCCATTCTTGCCTTCTTGATTCGTGAGGTTGGAAAAGATCTGTTTTCTCCAAAAATCAAACCTCCCGGTCGGCAATGGCATTCTCTTTGTGCCTGGAGCTCACTGCTCGTTGGATGCGCTGCTGTGCTTGCCATTCCGAAAGTCCGTGCTCTGCTTGTTCATCAGTTCAATGCTGTTGCGGTAATAAGTTGTGGGATTTGCCAACATTTGTTCATGTAGGTTCCCTGTCAAACTGTGAATGAAGCAACCTGTCTCATCTGGAGCTCTTCCCAACACATGTTGCACTGGTGAAAAACATTGTACGTCCGTAAGGCTTCACACAAAGCCTGTTCAGGAGGCTTCACACATTGATCGTCAACCAGTTTGGTCATGGTTTTTGTTCCGGCTTGTTCGCACACCTGTAACTGCCAGCTTCGCCTGCGCACAACATTCAACCGCATGGTTTCTGGCACCGGGATCGAGTCGGTCCCAAAATAGGTAGGGGATCCAATGTTCGTGAGCGGCCACGGTTTGGTGCTTTCCAGTTTTGATGCTACTGAGTCACCGGGTGTGACCACTTCCCTTCATCACTCGCATAAAATTTCGGGAGGAAAGGGTTCCAGGCCACAGCGGACATCGATTCTTTTTGGCCACCCGTTCACCTGCGCCCCGTTGCAATGGCACCGTTCTCGTGCTCCGACCTGTCGCTGATTTGAACAGGTACAGGTTTGTCGCTGATTTGTTTCCTGATTGGTGCCAAACATGTGTTCCAAAGGCTTGTTTTGGGGTCTGGAGGTGTTCTTTTTCCCGATGCATGGAGCAACTTCCACATTCAAGTTGGGACCCATGGCGTTTCACATGTGTGCTCACACAAATGGGTCCATGTCCGAATTTAACGGGCAAGGTGTCCTGTCTTCCAAGTTCCTGCTGTAAACTATGGTAGTCATGTTCCAAAAACAAAACTCAGCCACACATTTCACGTAGTCAGGCTGACACCCCTGCCATACCTAACACCCGTGTTGCGAACCGCGACACGAAAGGTTCATCCCTTGATCTCGGTCCAGCACGGCGAACATGTCTTCACGCACGTTCGAAGTCGTTTTCCGCCACACGACGTGTTTTCGAGTTCTTCATCTGAGCGCTTAACCGTCAGACTGGAGTGGGGAATGTCCGCAGGAAATCCAAACGTGAGGCCTATAGGTCACATCCGTTCCGATGCAAGCATCTCATGTCCAGCCATCTTTTGAACCATATACTGGACAAACGACTTTCGGGGGAACAAGCAACCTCTAAAATCGTGCGCCGGCCGACCAACTGTAGGTCCTAAGCCTGAAGGTCCACGCCGTTCTTCGATTCCTTCTCCATAAAATGGCGGACTGGTTCCTCAGATCGGATGTCTAAGGATGCTTCTTGTGTTTGAAGTCCTGGCTGGCTGGGGTCGCTCCTTTTTCAAGTCCGTCAAGGCACTCATGATCGGGGTCAGCGCTGGAATGACTTTCTTCGGGGTGGCATTGGCGGTGAGCTCCGTCTGTTCGTGCCATCGTGCAAACCTCGACGCCTAATTGCAGTACCCCAGGTGACATCATCACTTCCTCATAAGAGAGGCTTGCATGCTTGCCGAACCCCATGGCGTCCTGTAGATGCGATCCCCACTCAGTTCGGCGATCTGGTTGATGCGGTCCATGGTCCATGGCCTTCCTATTCAACTGGGGAATGGTCTCGTTGCCACTCAATGAGACAAGGAGCTTCTTCTGGCAGAAGCCACCAACACACTCTTCTTGGTTCCAGCTTTGTTCAACTTCACGGTCCACTCCTGGAGGTTGGTGCGGCTGCGTCCTGTCTGACGGACTACGCCGTGTTCCTCCTCCAACGTAGGCGGACACGAAGCTCCGTCACCCTCCGCTTGGGAGGCTCTCCCAAGGCACGGATCGCCTCGATGAGTTCCTTCTTGAGACGGATAGTCGGCATGATCTCTAAGGCTGGAACTAAGCTCAGAACGAGAGGCGATCTTAGTGGCGGCTGGCGGGCTGCTGTGTGTGTTGTTCTCCTCTATAGTTCCGCGCGCAACCCCAAACACAAAACAACCATCCGAAACACCAACAATGTCACCCTGGTCACCTGGTCACTTTGAATTCCAGCCAAAAACCTGATCTGCTACGGCCTCCCTTTCGGGCCGCAGACGCACCGGCTTGGTGCGAACAGCGTCGTACAGATCCGTCGACAGCTGGTGGACCCGGTCCGGCCTTCAGGGCTCAACGGGGAAAGGAACATGTCTACGTGGCTACGGTTCGTGTTGCTCCATCTATAGCCCTTGATTCCTCTCTACTCTGTCGGTTGTCTGCCCCTTCGGCCTAGGCCCTAGGCTTCTTCTGTGTACCAGCTGGTCTGCTGGTTTTTGTTTTTTTCAGTGGTGTACTCCATGTTCGGTTCACCTCGGTGTCAATCTCGGTCCGGTATAGGTGTGGCGTGGTGTGGCTGTGTAGTGGCCGTCATCCTGCTCGGGCGGTCCCACTGGGCGACTTTGTGAGGTTACCGCTGTCATCGCTTCCTCCTCCACTGCTGCGGTCATCAAGGCGATACCCTCATCATTCATGCCGGCTATCAGTGCTGCTGTGTCGATTCCCTCTGCAGGCACCTCTTCTGCTCTCATGATTCTGCAGGCCCCAGTATCCTGCTTTTGGATAGGTGGTGTGTTGATCACATCGGAGTAGGTCATTGTCATCTTCTGGCCACTGAGCGCGCAGCTCCTGGGACACGCGCTGGATGGTGTATGTCTCATCTATGGCCGTCTGGGCCAGCAGGCCTGTAGAAACTTTGGTACCTGTAGCATGAGGTCTGTAGTAGCTCATCTTGAAGCCATGTCTCATGCTCCATGTGTCGACCGTGCACGGCTGTCTGTGAGCCTGTAGTGGTTTCCTGGCAGTCATGCCAACGGTCATACTGTTCATAGTCTTGCCATTGGTTCCATTGTTGATGTTGTTGCCAGGTACTCCAGCTCGTCTGACTAGTCGTGCTGGAGGCATGCTTTGAATCACTTTTCGACTTCTTGTACTCCTGGACGCGCGCGAGGGCTTGTTTGGCCCGGGCGTGCACCTCCTGGTGATGTAGTCACTCATAGTTTCTCCTTTCTTTCGACTGCCCCTGAAGTAACGGTTGAGGTGCGTAAGTTCAGGGATCTGTGGTCGTCCCAGGCTGGATGTTTGCACACCCTGCTACCAGCAACGAAATGGCAGCCACACAACCGACTAACCTCAACCTGTTTCACACTGAACCACGACTATGTCACGCACTTACGTGTATGACATGCTTCACTTGCATAGCCCATATATGTATTGCCTAATATATAGACAGTATGTCAGATTCCCGCTCAGTGAAGCAGGTGTTGAACAATGCTGACGCCTCAAGTAAAGAAGATGCTTCACACCGGCAGTAATACAAAGGTGGTGCATGGTCGTGCTGAGGATGTTGTAAGCCAACTGTAGGAAGATCGAACCGTGTCGAGAGGGAACGTCCGTGGCATTTTGTGCGCTTGTAAAGGCAAGTGGAAAAATACTTTTTGGCGATCTTAAAAAAAGATTGTTGTAGAAATGCCAGTGGCAAACGAAGTCTACCGACACAGGTGCCAAACCAAGGTGAAGCAAAACACGAGGCAAGCGAAAACCAAGGTTCGAGCGGCGCGCGAACGAATTGGGAGGCGACGAATGTCGCCGCGGCCGGGGCGCCCTTTTAAGCTCGTTGAGCCCACCCTCTCGGGATGGTTGGGGGTTCATCTCAACCGCATGTTACACAGCGTGTAATTCACACGGGAGGAAAGTGGCAAATCAAAAAGCTAGCTCGGCAAGCCTGGCTCAAGGAGGTGGCGCCAGTAGCGGCGCGTGAAGTACACTGCATCGCTGGCTTGTCCGCCAGCCTGGGCCTCTGCTCCAAGCAAAGATCTGGCAACTGGAGGAGTTTTGAAGCTCCTCCATCCTGCGTGGTACATGAGGTTGCCATTGACGAGTGTCAGGATGTATCCACCCTGAGAGGAGCCACCGTTGCGGGTGGAGAATCCCGCATCGAAGAAGCACAGCAACCGCAGGTCTTCGCAAGCGCCAATGTGGTTGTAGGTGAGGCCGATATCTTGGCAAACTTGAGCAAATGGTTGGTGTCCATCAGAGTTTGGACCGTGCCTTTGTTGACCATGCCTGGCAACAAGCTGGTGCTGCGCGCAAGATGCGGCGAAGTCTGAACTGCCGGCCATTGCGTGGATGAGCCCAACAGACCACGAAGCTGTGCGACTTCACGTTCACGGAGGCTGTCAGCTGGGGAACGCTTCTTGTCCACAACAATGGGCATCACCTTTTCCATCTGTTGGATCTTTCGGCCACCTTCCGGAGTTTTCTCGACGTCGCAGCCACAATATTCAAGGCTGTCGTGATCTTCTTTCCACTCCCTGAACGAAAAGTTGGCCTTGAGCTGTTCCACAACAGAGCGGTAGCGCGGGCTATCCATGCAACCGACACCCAGGACGTCGTCAACGTGCATGATGACCATGCCGACAAACCGCTTGCGAGCGTCAGTGTAACTGGCGAAGGCCGTATCGAACTCTTCAGCCATGTGCTCGGGGCTGGTCTCATTGGAATCTTCAGCAGCCCATGGCCCATGGTTCATCTCCATAGTATCCAGCATCGTCGTCAAATGCTGGCTCCTCCTCGTAGTCGTCCACTGGCCAATCATCTTCATAGTAGCCGGCGTCTTCAGGCCATGGTTCCTCCTCCCACTCCCACTCATCATGCGTGGCATAGGCTCGTCCCGACCACTTGCCGAAGCGCTGGTTTCTGTCATGGTTCCAGACTTATAGTCTTGGCCGAGGATCGCGCCTCGATGACGGCCTGTTTCTCCAGTGATTGCCTTCGGCGTGATGAGTTGTCTTTGCTCCTTAGTGAGCGACGCACGACGAAGCAAATGCCATCCTTGAACTGGGTCAGGGAGTGCAACTTTGTGTTGTAGGAGCTTGCGGTAGCAACGGTTGGCCAGGCTGACGCTGAAGCAAAATGAAGTAGCCCTCAAAGTCGGTAGGGAGTTGGGCACTCTGGTCGTAAGCATAGTTGCCGTCCAAGATCGACAGCGTGCTCTCGAAGGCATCATCCTTTTCCAGTTGCTCCAAGCCTTCGAAGAGGCGCCACACTGCGCAGCGGAAGCTGCCGACGATGTTGAGCGTGCTCTCCTGAGGCCGTTTCGAAAAGGGCATCTTTCGATGGTACAGCTGAATCCGCTGCCTCCATTCTTTGTAATCGGCCGGCTGCCCGGAGAACAGGCGAACGTACGAGTCCCGTAAGTCTGCGTAGCTGTTCTCCTGGGTTGCGTGGCTTGTCCTCTTCCTCGTTGTTGTCCCTTCCTTGACATTCGCCGGAGTGGCCCGTAGGGTTGTGAACAAAGAACTCAACAAACAGGATCGCGAGGTAACCCACAAAGGGAAGGTGACGAAGACCTTGGTCCCAGCGCCCAGCTCGAGGTCGAAGTAGCGAAGTGCGTGGGGGCCCTCACCCAGACCGGGTTCGGGCTCCGCTACCAATGTAGAAATGCCAGCGCCAAACGAAGTCCTCCGACGCAGGTGCCAAAGGTGAAGCAAAACACGAGGCAAGCGAAAACCAAGGTTCGAGCGGCGCACCAACGAATTGGGAGGCGACGGGCGCCCTTTTAAGCTCATTGAGCCCACCCTCTCGGGATGGTTGGGGGTTCATCTCAACCGCATGTTACACAGCGTGCAATTCACAATTGTCCTTTTTGCAGCCGAAGTCGAATTTCATTGTAATTGAGAGTAGAGCTTTTGTTTGGTAATTGACAAGTGCCCAAGCTCACTGACCGTTGTGCCATGCCGTCCGACTGCCACAACACATACTGTAACGCACTCGCCGTGATGCCAACCATGCGAGTCACATGACCGTTGATACCGCACGGCGCGGCACTGCTCAGGGCGTGTGGAGGAGCGGGTTTTGACAAGTTCGTCGTGACGCTCTTGCTTCTGCAAATTTTCCCGACGATATTCTGTGATTTTTCGCAGTTGAAGGCTTATGACAAGAGAAGAGAAGAAGATGGAAATATGAGAAAAACATGAGAGAACTCGTCGCATCTTTTAAACCACTTTTCAGGAGTTTTCCTCACCTGGCGAGGTTTCGAAGCTGTGGACTGAGAAACTGAAACCGTGTTATCTTGTTTTCAGAAAATCCGGTGAAAGAGAGACAAACAGAACACGTTTCAGACACGTTTTCTGACGCTGACGTTTCTTTTTCTCGTTTCTCAGGACCAAGGCGAGGTCAATCACAGCTTTCGTCGCTGTCGCCACTTCCGCCGGAGGCGCTTTCGCCACCGACACCGCCACTTCTGCCAGGTGTTGCTGGCGCATTTCACGGCCTTGCGGAGCATCGTGGCGCCGCTTGTCGAGAGAGAAGAGAACCAGAAGAGACCAGAAACAGAAATAGAAACACTCCTCTTTCTTTCTGCCTCTCTCTCTCTCTCTACTTTGGGAGAAAAAACACAGAAGAGTTTCGAAAACACGATTCCCTCGCGAAAGCTGTGAAGCAATCCTTAAGTTTAATGTTCGCACAAATCGACCGTTTCCTATTCGCTAGCGATTGACAGACACGCCTCTCAAAACTTTTCGTTTGCATGGTTCCAAAAGGCTTGAAAAAGGACGCAGAACAGTTGAACACTTCGTTCCTTTTGTTGTTTTCCTTCTCTTTTGCTCGCTCTTACTTAGTTAAGTAGGCGGCTACTTAATTGAGTAAGGGCTAGGTGCACTACTGGTTACTAGTAACTGGACGCACGATAGCTCACGTTTCTATTCATTTGTATGCGCATGCTGGCATGGGTAACCCAGAAATTCGCTAGAACCCTAAACTAGGAAATGAACAGGGTCCTATGGGCCTCAATGGGGACTAGGATTCACCACCTGTGGAACCCGCCCAATCACCAATGCCCTCTTTTCCTGCGGATGAACGATCCTGCGCATGGTCTTCATGGCCTTGAGCCATAGTGTCGAATGCGCGAAACATGCGGCTGCATCTAGCATATGGCAACGAAATGCGAAGCGAAGGCATGAAGGTACCTGACAGGAAAATACATCTCTGAAATCTGGTTCTCTGAACACAGTACGAACAGATTATCTTGACCTTAGAGATCCCTCTAGATGGTTAGGGATTCCCACACCCCCTTTCAAGATAATTTCACAATGCTCTGCACTGCAATTAAAATGAATGCTAGGGCGCACCTGACTGCTGTCGAAGGTGTATTGCCTGCGCACGGTCAAGGGAACGAAGTAAAGCGCGAATCAATCCAATGCTTTGGCATGCAATGGAAACGGGAAAGTGGACTCGAAAAGAAGCGGATATCGATGACTCTCCAACTTTTCTCGCAAAAAAGACGCGGGAGTACATCTCGACCGCTAGTAACTGTGCCTGATCACACAACTCACGCATGGCTCTCGAGATTCACGCTCAGCGTATAGCTCAATGCATGCCTCTGCACTTCCAGTGGAGGGAACGGATGATATCCCCGACCAGTACATACTCTTTCTTCGGTGCAAAGTGGGGCTTATCATCCGGGAAGCAAAGATCACAGATTGTGACCTTATCGACATGTCGACCTTTGACTTTCAAAGATCCGCATCCGGAGGCATGAAATGCTCGACCTCCTGGTGTGACATAAAATTCACGTGGGATCGGCTCAACATTCTCATTGGGTTTCGGCACATCCACAGCATTCTTGGAGGACGAAGCCTGAGCAACATCCGCAGCCTTTGCCTGATGCTTCAATTGCCTTTTCTGCAGCGATTGAGCTTTCCGGCGGGGCAGCTTGATATGCTGTGTCTCCTCCTCGATCTCATCATCCCAAGACGATCCTGGACTCGAACCACGTTTGCTTGCGCTCGAACGAGAACGGGTGCGATGGCCTCGATCACCACGACTTCCACTTGACGGAAGCATGCGCCACAAAACTGAGATCAGTATTGCGGTCTGGCACAAAAACATGGCGAGCAGGATGAGTAAAAACATCCACGACAAGAAACCCTTCAGTATCTTGCTCGAGCTGGAAAGGAATGTGCAATTCAAGTTAATTCAGATCCAATTTGATCAAAGCTTGTGGAAAGGAAGAAAGCAGTATTGATTGACTCACAATCTAAAGCTCCTACCTCACAATCAGCTTTACGTTTCACTTGTAACGATTGGCCGTGATTGCAATTGCTTTGAACTAAAGGAGAATCCTGGCTCGTCCGGGTCGAACATTACGAACCCCCCTTCGAGCCTCACAGGCTCACCAAGGGAAAGGCTCTTCACATGGATCAAGACCTCCATAACGAGTCGTTCAGGATAGCGACCGGTGTTGGACCACTTTGACTTGTTAAACGTCTCATGATTTGGATGACTACAGTATGCAAACTTCTCGAGACATGAAGCGATGGCTTTACTGCTCGTTGCAAACAAGAAAGTCTTGTTCACAATCGGACCACCACACATACAGAGTTTCGGAGCATTTGCAAAAACTGGCCTATGAGCTTGCGTCAGGAGTTCCTGAACCGGCTGTGATTTCCAATAGTTATTGCGTTTTGGCAGTTCGAACGACCAAACACTGCAGGCTAACATGATTTCACTGCAAAAACCAAGAAGATAGAATGATTTGTCCTGGTGTTCTTTCTTGAGCACTTCGTTGGTGGACAAGTTCTGTAATGAACTTCCTCCCGTACACGGAAGTGAGAAATGTACATAGGAAAACTTACCCTTCCTCTGGTGATGCTTTTGCAACGTTTGAAGAATGCTCCTGTGACACTCTTCCAAAGGCGAGAGTTTCGTACGCCTGATAATCAACGAATTGGCCGGGTAGAATGTCAGTGCAGTTCCTGCTAAAGTGCTTTCCTTTGTGCAACAAACTTCAACAATGATGATGTCAAATTCTTCATGTTCAAGACCACATCATTTGCTTCTACAAACACTTGGGAACTTCTTGGTGCTTGACGAAGAGCTGGATGGTGTTCCAGCCTTGAGATGGCGCTGGACTATCGGCTTCAACTCGATTGTACCGTCAGCACGAATCATGCTAGACATCTTGGCACTCGGCGACTTTGAGAGGACGATGAAGGTGGGCTTGAAGATCCAAACACTGCGAAGTTCACCTCATCATCTTCAAGAAAGCTGACTGTGAATTGATTGAAAAGCCGGGAACCTAACGTTTTCGTCAGTATGTCAGCGATTTGCGCATGGCCCTCAACCCAAACCAAAGAGATTGCTCCCCGCTTGATGAGTTCCTGGCAAAAGCAAATCCTCAACTCAACATGTTGACTTTTGCGCTGAAGGCCATTGGCCTGAAGAACACGAATTGCTGCTTGCGAATCCGTACGGCGCTCTATGTGTGGATGGGAGCCATGTCCAAACAGATGCTCATATATTTGAATCAATGCTACTGTCTCGCATATAGATTCCGTACTGGCACGAACTTTAGGTGGTCCGTCAATCTAGCTAGCCCGATGGCCTCCTGAACTGATTCGGCAATTGACGAAAGTTCAGCCTCGCATGAACTAAGGGCTACCAGAGACTGCACTCTACAAAAGGCTTTGACAATACTTCCTTTAAAGAAGGCTACCATGCCTGAGATTGATCTTCTTCGAAGACATCTGAGCGGTGCCCAAGACGCGTCCGTGTACATTGTGATCTGATTGGACTGTGAGCTGGGGTCCATGCTGACTCTGGAGATGGAAAGCATTGCACGTACGAGCGATGGTTGAACAGCCACCTGAGGATCGCATGCAAAGCGGCTTCATGTTTGGCAAGTGGATTTTGCCATCCCCGTAGCAAGCAATGACAGGTATACTGATAGATGCAAAAGCGTCTGCGACATCCAACTTAGTTTGCCTAGAGCACCCCTAAACTTGGTGACAGCCTCAGCAGACAGCGGCACTTCTTTGTCTTCTTTCGGGTCATCCAACAACGGCCTCAAATCCGGTGGATTGTCTGTGCCCTTTGAGATTTGATATGCTTCAAATGTGGATTCAAGATAGTTTGCGTCCAATTTGAGGGTGATCTCCTTATGCATTGGCTTTCTTTCGATTATACGCCCAAGAAAACGAATCTTGCCTCCCCCTTCGAAACTTGGCTTGATTTCCCCAGTCTTCTTGATTTTAAGTGCACTGGACAAATGCTTGAACACGATACCTGTGGCCTCCTGGCATTTGGAAAAGATCAAGAGATCGTCCACTTACGCCGCAACCTGAACCCAAGATTTTGATTTATCTTTCAAAGAAACATGTCCTGCGAAGATAGTGGATTCAAGCCTGGATGGATTGATCTGCAAAGACTTCAAAAGGTTAGCTAGGTGCTCTACCCATGCCAATCCGCTGGAACGAAGGCCATTGATAGCCTTGTAGGCTTCCAAGTACACAGGTGACAAATTTGGGAAAACAATACTTGGTGGCAGCTTCAAAATGACTTTAATCGGCTTACCCAACTTCTGACCAAGGGGAGATGCCATGAATGCGGCTGATACGTCTAAGCCTGTTATGTGTAAATCCGAAATTGAGGCTTCGGCAAGCATGAGTCGAAGGGACTCGATGGAGCTCGTGGGTGAACTGATCATCAGATCCTTCGCAGACAATTGCCCACGGGCTATCTCGCGTGCCACAAGGCGCATGCGAACATTAGTTGGGTCCTTGTCCACGCATACCCAGCGTGTGGTGATGGGCGAAATACCCCATTGCTTCAAAAGGACCTTGGACGTTTGCTTCTGAACACTCATGGAATCAATCTCGGTTTGCACGCCCTGAAAAGCTAAGCCACAATCTAGATATCGACCATCGGCATCACTAATCGCATAAACTGGGAACAGTAATTTTACTGGTTGGCCGCGCAACATGACTGTCTTATACTCGGGCTTCTGACCTTTAACCTGATAGACGCTCTGCATGAAACCGGAATGCCTGGATTCGATGTTCTCGATTGATGCTAAATCAAAAGCTGTGACCAACGATCCCAATTGCATAGCATCAGATTCTGGAGGCGGCAACTCTGAGGGTGGTACACCCGTGTCGACAGCCATGTCAACATCGACGATTGCCGGAGGAACCTCAACCGGAATAACTTCGGTTGGCTTTGGAAATGCATCTTCAAATGCTTTTGCAACTGGATCTTGGACTGATTCTGAAACATCCATGGTAGGCAATTCAGGCTCAAGCAAATCGGACTTGGGCGAGATTCTTCTCTTGGTGTCGTTGGATGATAGGATATATCGGACATCGCCTTGACATCTTTTGCTTTATGCAGACCCCCTTCACCCCCTTTACTCTCTAAAACATCAACTTCAAAAGGAGCATCATACCTAAGGGAAACAGGAACTGTTGGCTCAGGCAGAGACGGAGGTCGGGGCTGCTTTGAAGACAACCTGAT